GGGGGGGTCGACGGAACTTTCGACCAGTGCGTTTTGTCATAGTAAATTATAGTTAAGTACTCGTAGCAAGTGATTTTACTTTGACATTAGGTGGATGAAATCAATACGATCGTTTAATCGTTTCTTTAATTTCTCCTTCTTATTGTCTTTGAGTTTTTTTAAGAAAAAGAAAGTCAAATTCAGGGCGAGAACAGGCCGCTTTGCTTGGTAAGAGGTTAGCGGCAAGCGGTAAGAAGTTTGATATTTTGTACATGTCAACTATGGCAAGAGCTACAGAAACAGCGCAAATAATGCTCACAGAGATGGATCCTGTACAGACATGCAGCGACTCCTTGTTGGAAGAGGGAGCCCCTTACCCACCTGAACCACCATCTCGTACCTGGCATCCTGCACAACATGTAAGTTTTTTGAAAGTGAATTAACTTGGGTTCAAGGGCGATTGGTGTTATTAAAATGTTATATTGTTTTTCCGCAGACAGCCGACAGCAAAAAAAATTATAACCTGCTTCGAGGGTATAAATTCCTTTCTATTGATTTCTGCTTGAGCATTTTTTGTAAATAATTACTTGGTAGTTTGGAACACGAAGATTTTGAATTTGAAAGCACCTTGATCTAACTATAAGTTTCTTTGAATTTCTTCGCGGAGGGGTCGAGAATTGAAGCTGCGTTCCGAAAGTATATTCATCGAGCAGATCCAAAGCAAGAGAAGGACAGTTACGAAATTATTGTTTGTCATGGGAACGTTATCAGATATTTTATCTGCAGGTACGTGCTAGATTAGCTTTGTGGTTTAAAATAATGCAAAATATTTTGGAATTCTCATATTCTTGACATAAAATAACCAGGGACTTTTGCAGAGCTCTACAGTTTCCTCCTGAGGGATGGTTGCGTTTCTCCTTGGGAAATACGTCGATAACGTGGTTAATTGTGAAACCTTCTGGCCGGGTTATTGTTCGTACAATTGGTGATATCGGTCACTTACCGGAGAACAAAACCACCTTCACATGATTTTTATCTGTGCTATGCCTACTAATTGCAAAAGTGGTTCTGTTGTCTGACTTTCGCAAAGGTTGCGCACATGTATTTATATTTCATAACTTTAGAGAGAAATATTTTGTTGGTTTTTCTTCCATTTAGTTTTACTAGTATTGCATAACTCTTGTACTGTTATTGCGCTGAGTACTCACCTTGTTTACTAAAAGTATCTGGTATCTCGTTGCCTTAGAGTTTATTTTTAAAGTTTGATAATGCTTAATCTACATTTGGCTGTTAATTTTCCTTATTTGGTTGTTTTAGAGGAAGAATTTTTTGGTTACCCCTTGACTACCCATTCTTATATGGTTAGCTTTGAGAAATTTTACTACCGTTAAATCTTTTCTCGGTTATGTGGAATATTTTCAGTAATTGTGGAGGTTTGGAGATGCAGTTTCTCGCCTTGACAAATTGTTCTATCAACTTCTAGCGATTTCCAAGTGTCAAACTTTCTCGAGTACCATTTCACTGTAATAGTACTTTCCAAGACCGTCCTCAATTTCTCATTATCACTCAGCCGGTTAGGGTCATTGCTTCGAACTTCTATGGGGCAATAGTCTTGTATATCGCGGTCACATATTTTCCTAGAACTCTCACCGTCTGTTAAAGAACTGCGCTTGTTTCGCTTAATTATCATCCTATAGAATTTTTTAACTTCTTTTACTTTTTTTTGGGAGGCTTGAAGTATGCCCGGGTGGTTGTCGTCGCCAGTTTCGCTTTCAATTATCTGGAGCCTACCACCCCCTTGAGAACGGGTAAAATCAGAGGATTGCTGAGGTCAGAACTTGACTTGGGAGATTGAAAAGAGATTGAAGCTGTTACCGGTCGTCGTTAAGCGGTAGGTATCTACACAGCACCGCCTAGTTAAAAACTAACGCAACAAGTAATAAAATATCTTGGGTCATACTAATTCTATCTACCAAAGACTATTAAGAAACTAACTGATAAAACCCTTTTAGGTGCAAACAACGAAGCAGTACGAGTAGCGAGGGAAGTGAAGAGGGATACAGGCAACGCACAGTATGCACGCACCTGATAAGCTAGAGTAGACGCACTTTGCAGGGTACAATTAACCTAAAGACTCGGGCTAGGTTAGACTAAGTAAGAAACTAACAAGCACTACTTAGGGCTTTTTTTGGAAGCAGGTAAGGATGGTGGACTTTTCAACTCCGGGCATCTCTGAATGGTTACGCTGTTTAAATTAAATTTACTCGGTGGAATCACCGCAAGTATTAAGAGAGCGAGGAGGCTTCTACCTCTAGCGTTAATTGACTGTAGCAAGTCAATAATACTGACGCGCGCGAATAAATAAACGAAATTTCCACAGTCCGTATCCACTATCTAGCGAAACCACAGCCAAGGAAAGAGGTTTGGGAAACAGCACAAAACAAAGTTCTGTTGAGCTTCGCTTTAGTCTGACATTGAGGAGAGTCATGAGAGGTGTTGCATAAATTAGAGCTTTATAGCAGCAGTGGAATACTACTCTTTTCATCAACTCTTCACTTATTTGGTTAAACGAGACCTGAGTTATAACAACAACTCTTGGTTCTGATGCTTAAGTGTGATGTTTGCACGACCCCCCACTATGACATTGTAACGCTGGGAGTTTGACTGCAGCGTTACGTCTGTAAAATAATAAAGCAGTATCCTGGTGCTGGACAGGCCATTATTATTTGGACGGCTTAATCTCCAGTTGCAAATATGCTCCTCTTGATGACTTAGCTAGGTGGTTGAGGGGTTATTTGGTTATCAAAGCTGGGTCAGTCTGGTACGGTGCTTTAACGCCAAATTTCTTGCACGCAACGAGGATACTGGTCAAGGTGTCGTACGCTATAGAGCAGCTTCCATACTGCGATCTACTAATGCTCATTCTTCGATCAATGTGTCTATTTCCTGTTTGTTGAAAATGTCTCGTTTGAAGCGTTTTTTGTGCAAAAAATGGAAAATTTTCTATGATTTCAAAAGTTTAGATTTATGATTGAATTCTGTCGCAATCTGAAATGGAGAGGAAAGTAGGGCGAAACGAAAAATGGCTTGGAGATCTGAAGCCGGACAAGACTGCAAGGACTTACGAAAGGGGATTGAAGAAGAAACTACCAAGTGATCCCTGGAATGTTTGGTTATCACGAAAGAGCCTTTTTTGATTTTCATCTTTTACTGTAGCCTCTACGTCGCAGTTTTATTTGCTGAAAGTTGCTTTTATTCTTTGTTATATTTAATTCTTTGAAGGTATTTCTGTTGTCTGTAGCTTTTTCTATTCCATCACACTGGTACGTTAATTCTCTTCGTCCTGGTGCAGTTCTTGATATCACATAGGTGAAGCGTTTTGGCCCACTTCATAGCGTACGGAATGTTGCGACTTTTGAGAAAGGCTCTATAGGGAAACAGGTCACTGTAGCTTTCCGAGGACAAGCTCTCGGAAGGATTACAGAACTGGTCACTTGAGCGGGCAAAAACTAGGCTTTATAAGGAGGTCAAAGGAGGTCAGTTTGAAGTGTGCCATTATTGTGATTTTTGGCATTGGTTTTACAATCCCGTGCTTAGGCCTAACTGTCGCATTGCGAATAGCTTATCTTGAATATTGGTTGCTTTGCTGTCATTTCAAGTCATGCCCAGTAGACAGTGTGTGATCGTTATTGTAGGTCTTAAAATGTGCGTTACTCAATTTTAACTAATTTAATTACTGATTCATTTCTTTGTTAGATATAAACTTGAAGCTCGAATTTCGTGTCGGACTGAAGGCATGATAATAAGTCAAAAGAATATCAGCATTCTAATAGGCATGGATTACTTTTGGGACTTCACGGAAAGTTTTCGAGTTGTTCCATAGAGCGGTGAGTTTTACGAAATCCTCAGTAACATGGGATATTCATCACGGGGAAAGTTGCGTATGAGAAAATGGTCACAAACAGCAGTTAAGGAGACAAGATTTCTATATTCTCCTTAGCAGATCTAAAGAGGTTCTCAAGCTACACCAACCACACCTGCGAGAAAACAGTGGTTCTATCTGTTGATTGCTTTGTTATTTCACGTTGTGCTCAGTAGGGACTGCCGGTCGATCTCTTCGGACCTAGCAAACCGACTTTGTTCTCGAAAATCACCATCGAAGCAGCTTTTAGCCATTACCTTTGGTGATAGAAAGTCAGCAGCCACTCACCTCAAAGTGGTAGAAGTTGGAATTCCCACCATGAACGGAAAAATAAAGTAACTAAATTTAACACTACCGCTGCAATCAATGGTAGCACAACTTTATCCATGAATACCATTGGCCGCAACATATCACAATATTAGAAAACTACAATGCTGGGAAAGTGCACCAATGCCGCAGCAATACTCATCAGAATTGATGCTTTCAATTTCATGGACTGCTGATCGGTCTCCTCAAGCACGAGTTAGAATTTGTAGTGCTTGACTCTTTCACTGCTTGGAAGCAAGGGAGAATATCGCCATTATAATAGCAGCCACCAATTCTTACCAAAAAGCTACACAAGCGCAGCCATAAAAAAAGTGAGCCTTGAAAATTTAGAAGTAATGAAGCAGCTGGAATACACAAGCAACCTGAGTTTTTTTCTTCAAACTTTCCATGAATTGTCAAAAAATTTTTTGTGGCTATATTTTTGGTAACGATGACAGACGATAGGGTTTGATGGGAAGTTGCAGTCAACATGTGTGATTAGGCAATAGTATATTCAAGGTGGAATATGTTAAAGTCGACATATTTAAGCAGGATGATACAGCACTGTCCCACATGCTTTGTAAGGTTGCCGGTTCAGAAACATTGTACAGGAGATGTTCGCTTGGTGTTTTTTAGGAGTTACAAACAATGCAGTTTCTTTGTCTGCGCGCTAACTCACACTGATTGCAACAGTAACAGTTATTGTAATTTGCACTAAAATAACTGAATATTTTAGATGCTGCAGCGTTTAAAAGCAGTGAATACAACAGCTGCTTAGTACCTTAATAAGAGAAGAAGAGTGTAAAGCTTGATGTAAAAGGTTTACATCTAACAAAGTATAAGATTATGCTGTGCGAATGGTCATTAAATCGTTTTTTTTCTTGTCTAAGGTGTCATCTAAAAGCTTGAGCTTTTAATTTTTTTTCTCTTCATCCTCAACTCAATGATTGCTTGGTTTTAAATCCTACAATTTAAGTCCTCTCTAAGTACTCTGATTTATGTGTGACTTCTCATAGGGTCTCTAGATTTGAGGAGGGCTCGACACATGACTAAGAGAGCTGTTGGATATCTTATACGGTCTAAAAATATAGGATTTATTACTAATGAATTTGCATCATCTGCGCCACAAGCGACTAATGATGTAACACCATAAAGAAACCAGCAGTTTACGAATTAATTCATGTATTATTTCAGCCAGGAAGCTTCTTTCTACAGCTTTACTTTTGTTCCATCTTATCTGCTTGATTAAAGTTGGTACAACAACAAAAAGAATTATTTTATATGGTTTCATGACCTCATTCACCGGCGACTTGCAAATGGGGATGCAATGTGAACTGCTTTTGGAAAGCTTTTGAAAATTACCTGTTATATTACTAGAGATCCTTTCGATTAGGTTACTAAAGCAACAATATTGTTGTTATTATTTCGCTGCAGTTTGGAATCGACGCTGCCTGGTGCTCAAAAAATACTGGGCGACAAAGGTCAACTTCGGCTTCTAAATGTTAAATGCAGAAGGATACAAGTGCAAGTTACTTGTTCTTGGTTGTCCTTTATTCAGTAGCTTCAGTATTTGATCAGGAGGCTGCTGCGTTCAAAGTGACAAGCAAGATGATAATTGATACTACAAGTTATGGGCAAAATTATTGATTTGATTTTCCGAATAAGAGCTAGGTTAGTCAGAAACTAGGGGATAACGTACACTAACCGAGTTGATACGTTTTTACTAATTGGCATTTTCAACGGAATTTGCTTTCTTAACTCGTTGGAATTGCTTTGACAAAATGTCTTCTTCTCTGCTTAA